GCTGCTGCGTCAACTCTATTAACGGGTTCTTCCCCTAGTTTGGGATTATCATTTTCGTCTAAACGCAGATCTAATCTCGTGCCTGGACCTGTATAATTGTGCCCTGGGAGATGTTTTTCTCCGGGATATTTTGCCCATGGGAATCCAGGAAGAGAACTCAATGACTTTTGAATGTCTCCCGCACCGAAATACGTTTTAGGAGGATGGACATGTATTAAAGACATATTTGTTCAATAAACACGATATATTTTTAATACGAAAGATTTAATATAAGGAGGAAATTTGTTGTTTGGCCACTTTGGAGATGAGAGATGTTAGCGCAGAGAAGAAACCGTCTCCTTCGAATTTTTTTTGTTCGTGTTTTAAAAGTAAAGACATTTTTTTTTTTTTTAATGCGGTTATTTTATACTGTATTATTATTAGTGATTCTTGTCTGTGGTTCTGGGTAATTTATAATACAGTTTGGAGGAATCTGTTATGATATATTTTTTTAACAGTTTGGGAAGTCTGTTATAATACATTTTTTAACAGTTTGGGGAAGTCTGTTATAATACATTTTTTAACAGTTTGGGGAAGTCTGTTATAATACATTTTAACAGTTGTGTCTTTTCGGATATGACGCATTGAAAAAAAGCTGCGCATGCACAGAAGTGAAATGCGTCATATCCGAAAAGACATATACCTTCCATCTCAAAAACCGGATCAAACTGGATGCGCTATATCAGAAAACACATATGCTACTAGTTGGATTTGGTATTTACAAGCCCATTTATAAAAGTTATTTCGTTTGAACGAATTAATTATTTTATCCGAATTTGATGATTTTGGTTTCAAACGAAAGAACACAAAAATTAAAAAAAGAATGTGGCAGTCAAAGGTCATTTACCTTGGCTATGAGTAGATACTTTCATATTTGACCTCCGACATCTACTTCCGGTTTTATGGATGTCCAAAAACAGCCCAATTCGCAACTTTGTACTGCTCTAGCACGTGATCTAATTATCCCAGAGGTTCGGATTCTTAAAATGCTTCTCATGCCAACTCCAGCGATATATAACAAAGGTTCAAAAAGGGACTTGCCACACAAAGACCCCATCCATTTGGCCAGTTTGTGTTAAAAGGTCAGTTGTTTCTGCTTGGTAGTTCAAAAGAAGGAACGGGTTTTAGAATTTCCACATTTTCAATATTTGACATTGACCTTTGTTGAGTTTAACATTTGTAGGGTCAAAGGTCATTGACCATGGTTATCTATATTATATAGTACTTTCTGTAATTGTACTTTCATTTTATTTGATGTCCGACGTAAGCTTCCGGTTTTGTAGCCGTAAAAATTTTGAAAGTTTGATAAGCGAGATCTTGACCTCGACCTTGACCATTGTTGACCTTCCCCTTTACAAGATCAAAGGTCATTGATTTTCGCTATTCGCTAATATATTCAGTTTTGACGTCTGACGTCTACTTCCGGTTTCACAACCTTCTAAAGAGAGAAAATGTCGTAACGGTTCTGGCAAGTGGCCTAATTAACCTAGAAGGTTGATATTTTCAGAGTCTCTTGCAATTTGCCACATTAGCAAAGTCCACTAGAGTGTGGCTCTAGTTTTATCATTATTATAAGAACTCGTGTTTTCTTGTTGGTTTTATACCATCTTTGCATAAATGCACAATGTCATGTATATATTACACTATATGAGAATATCGTCCGATTCTTTGTTATATGTCATTTTACTTTATACCACTTATTGCTAAAACTCTTGTTTTTGTAAATATGTATATAATGTATATATGTTCCATTGACTCCAAGGAAGATTTGGTTAACAAATTGCTGATCAATATAGTCATTATTATTATATTAAAAAGAAGAAACATGAAGGTAACTTTTTGACATGAGTGTAATTAAAAATATCAAGAAAGGGTCACTTTAATTTTTCATGATTTTGAGTCATTAAGTGCACTTCTCGCAAATATGGAAGGGTTTTTGGGTAAAAATAAGATGATTTGCTAATTTGTGTAATCCATTGTTGAAATGTTCAGAATGTCCAAATACTTAGTATGATACCGTCAACTTGGTCATTGTGAATACGTAAATTGTAATAAAACAAATGTGTTTTGTCATTCCCTCACTACTTACACGGTTACATATCATTTTGGTATTATCATTTTAAACATATCATTTTCTGCATATCATAATATGTTTAAAATGATAATACCAAAATGATATGTTTAAAATGATAATACCAAAATGATATGTAACCGTGTGATTTGAACAATTGGAGCGAGGAAATGACAAAAAACATTTGTTTTGTTACAATTTACTTAAGCAATACGACCAAGTTGACGCCGACGGTATCATAATGAGTATTAGACAATTTAGCAGAGCATTTTATTTAGACTCAAAAACCCTTCCATACCCAAATGCATACATTTTTTTTTAATGATAATTGTGCACTTTTTGAGAAAAGTATGAAACTTCTAACATTGTTAGCTTTCACCATGAGATTCATTTTCAGATGTGGAGATTGTTCCATCGCCTTGTCTATTTTTAGTTGAAAGATTTTGTGTATTCATACGCTGCATCCCACGTTGTCATAGGAGATCACTAAGGAAATTTGTAGTTCATCGGTAGTACTCATTCAGTGATCGCGTAAAGTTCTAGTCCGCTCCGACATAATCCGCGCGACATGTGTTTCACATAGAAATGTAAAACTATGCTTGGTTAATTCGCAGTTAAAAGTTCCCACAAATTTTTCATAGCTTTAGAAAGTTCCCGGCATCAAAGTACCAAACTCTTTGATTGCGGTGTATAGCCACCATTTTCTCATAGTGATAAGGTTTTCTTGGAAACGTCGTAGGGATATTTTTAGTTCAACCAATGAGAGGCGTCGGAATATGGGCCATCGTCATGGTTGCGCATAATTAGGTGACGACGTCACAGACCGTTAATAAAAGAGTCAATAAGTTGCTTGTTTCAATCTTGTTTTGAGCGGAAAGTTTGGCGATTTAACATGAATTATGGATATGAAATTGCTCTTTTGTGTTCAAATAAACATTAATATACAGTTGTAACTTTATATTTGAAAAAAATCCAGCGTAATTTCCTCATATCCAAGGTTATCTTCAAAGGAAAGGGATAAACGCAGCCTAGTCTAGTATCTGAGATAATCGAATGTCCCATGCCATAGGCTATGTGAAAATCACTTTACGGTCTTTCATCAAATAATGTAATTATAAGAAAGCTTTATGATAAATGATAGACGAAATTTGAAAGAAGGGATTATAGAATTAATAAAAAAGAGACAATAGACTAAAGAGTGCTTGGCCTAACTATAATCTAGGCCTATGTAGGCCTACTTCTGTATATGAAAATTACAAAACATTTTTTTTTCAAGCATATTATTATGAATAATAATTAAAAACAAGCAAGTTAAAAATAATTTTATAAAATTAACAACACCATTCTAATACAGGCTATATTGACGTAACAAATGTAACATAAAATTTCAACATATTTCTCAAGTTAGGGCCAATAGTATCATTAATAAGCTTATGTTTTATATGATTTATTATTTATATATACTCATATGAATTTTGAAATACATATATATGGCTATATAGCAAGAATGTTACCAGAAATCGATATTGCATGTTAAATTTATACATTGTCTTCCTTTCTATAAATACTAAAAGTGTATTCATGTAATGAAGAAACATCTCAGTACCTGTAACATATGAAAATGATTTCTTTTTTTTATAGAAATAAGTCAAATAAATCTGAACTGAATCAGTAAATAGGATGATTTAGTCTCTTCTCAATAGATTTAATCTCTTCTCAAATAAATGTTGCTTGATAGGAACTTTATTACATAAAATATTTTCCCTCCTCCTGGTCAAATTAAAACATTCTAAAAAAAATAAACACTATAACACTATAACACTATATTTTAGACAATGGTTTTGTATTTTCATCCTATAGGGTGGTTTAGTGAATAGATAATTAATGAAAAGTATTTATTAATGAAAGAATTGCTATAAATATATCAATATTTAAATGACATATTGAGGTAAATTAAAAATAAATAAAAAAGGATCCATTACACATTATCAGCATTACAAGCCCATGATCTTTTACACCTATAGCAACAGTAAATCTGAAGTGAATCTACAAGGAGCCTATGGGTTACATTGGTTCAAAAAACTGAAAAGTTTTATAACAATCAGCAAGTTGGGTTGTAATTGATTGCTAGGTATGGCAAGGGTACATGTATTTTCTCAGCTGTTCAGTAGTTTTTGATAAAACAGAACCATGAATTAGCCTAAACGTCAAGTAGTGAAATTAAAGATGGTGGATTGTTGGTGAATGACTTGATTTTGTTTTGAAAACTCTTCACTTGCCTTATATGTTATTGCCAGTTTTCTAACTCTCTATCTAATGATTTTGTCCTGTTGTAGGCTTGGTGAAAACATTCCAGCAGAGGTCGTCAAATTTGGACGAAAGCACATTTTTTATCCTAAAAAAATCAGAAATATTTTCGTCAATAAATGAATGCAATTTTTTCACATTGGTTCACTGTAGCACTGACAATAAAATGTAAATATTAATGAACTACAAATGCAATACATTTTGAAAATCATTTCAGACAGCTGTCAGTGGGCGTATGTTGCCTTGCCTACCTTGCCTGATATATATCAATTGCAAGCTATATTATATTACATGTAATTATAATATACTGTCCCTATAAATAAATAACCTATTTGTGTAAGATTACTTGAATTATGAGATTCAAAAAGTGTAGTTATATAATATTGTGATACACTCGTTAGACATGGCGTCGAAAACGTTTAGGATTATATCTTGTGTTATATTTATAGTTGTTTTATTTTATATAAGTGTGCTATACTATGTAAATCAGACACCTTTTCCACGGAAAGGCAATATTCTATCGTTTCAGAAGTCCAACCCAAGAATACTTTCGGGCTGCCAACGTATACAAAGGTCTCACAATTTGCCGAAGACAGCTTTAGCTAGTTTTCCTGGGTCGGGCAATACATGGTTACGTCACTTGATACAGCAAGTTACTGGTAAGTTTATACATCCATTCTTTTTACAAAATATTAAAAAAATTAAATTTCCAAATGCCATGAAGTGTACTGTTGAAGACCCTTTAACTTGTACAGTACTTGAATAACATGGTGTCTTCATTTTCCCTAGATTTGTACGCGATTTTTCACGTGAGAATGCACGAGCTGCACTATCCTGTAAAGCAAATCATGAAATCATGCTAAAACTTCAGAAAAACTGATTGATTCTGTTGATTTTGGCATAGACCTAAACTATCGCAGTGGCAGCTCAAAGCAACCGCCCCCCTCCCACCTTAGATAAGATAAGATTTATTGTATATATACGCCCTTTGTGGGCAGAATACAGATATAGAACAGTACAATGATTTCCAATAAACAATAAAATGAAACACAGGTACATGTATATGAAAAGTAACAAAATGAAGTATAAAAGTTAAAAAATAAAATATTATAAATAGAAGCATTGAAATATAATCATTATAAGGTGAAAAATAAATATCACTTTGAGGAGTTTATGTATTACACAAACCATGCGATGACATTTGTTATATAAAAATAGTATACATAAAATGAAGAAATGGAAATAAATATTTTCAAATAGATATATTTAGTAATGTAATATCAATTTTTACGTTTTTCAAAACACTATGTACATAATAAGCAACCGACTACGCAATCTGTTCAGGGGGATCTAAAAGGAGATGAAGAGATTTTATATTTTAAGAGAAAGACTGGTAAGTTTGGAATATTGGATCAATGATTTCTTGTCTTTCGCTGTCGTAAAAAGAGCAATATAATAGAAAATGTTCTTCATCTTCAATACTGGACGTGGTGCAAAATTGACAAATATTTTCTATCAGGGGTGTTTTATTATACCTGCTTCGCTCTATGGCTAGGTTACATGTGCACTGAGGCGCAGAGTAGTTAATTGGTCCCCAATTTGTGGCTGCTGTTGTTATCTACTTATCTTGTTTAAAAAGGGTTATAAATTTGTTTTCCATTGTAGATTTGATTTTATGTTTGGAAATATTATATGATTGAAAATTAAAATAATTATTTATATCCTGAATTCACCGCTAAAAAGATAATTTTTGTTTGCTGGTTTTATGTTTCAAAAGATGACAGTCGATGTTGTATGCATCCAGGAGTCGTTTATTAGTGAGACCAAATATAAAAACGTTTGTGATACGACAGGTTACGCTGGAATACATCAATCGACAAAGGGAAAACTCCAATTTCAGCCAAACATCCGATATTAGACGTTTTTTTTTTTTGTAAATTGAGAATTGATTTACAAATATCTGTTGTCAATTTATTAATTGGAAGTTTGTTCACTTTATCAAGAGATATATTCCTTTCAGCAAGTATATGCGAACCCCAGACCTCTACCCCATACAGAGCTATCGGTTTCACCACACAGTTGTATAGTTTCAAGAGAATGTCCGTGGGGAGAAATCCGAAATGGCATAATTTCTGTCGTATCGCAAACCACGCTCTACGAGCTTTCGTTATTTGCTCGTGATAAGCTGCCTTAAAACTCTAATTGATTTGGATTGTGATACCCAAATAAACTTAAGAGTCAACAGTTAAAATAGCATGTTCGTTAAATAAATAGCCTGTTCGTTAAATAAATAAATGTTCGTTAAATAAAAAAAGTAGGCTTTTGGTTCATATTTTTGCTTTTCCTTGTGTTAGTAAAGATTAATATTTTGTTTTTTCAATATCTACCTGGAGTTGCCAATCGGAAGAGAAACGAGAAAGGTTGTCTGAGATTGTAAAGTTTGTTTAGATGATGTCAATAGCACAAGGTCATCAGCAAACAAAAGATGTGTTAATGATTGAGCATCAAATAAAGGTGCCCCTGATGGTTTATGGTTTGTAAGTCATTAATATAAATATTAAACAACACCGGGCTTAGATTGCATCCCTGTTTGAGGCCCTGTGCAGAAGTAATTCTACTTGATATACCACCATTGGTTTTAACGTGGTAACTTGTCTTATGGTACATTGATTTTTTTTATATCAAAACAATGGCCATCTATATTGTGATTCAAGAGTTTATAAAATAATCCATCTCGCCAAACGGTGTCACCTTATTTCCCTTCAAAGATCAAAATAATAAAATATACACCAGGGGCCTTATTCTCCCACACTAATATAAAATCCGGATTTTAAAAAATACAGTAATTTGATTGAATGATTAAACTGAATTTAAAATCAAGTGTCTGGAACACTTAAATCATTTTAAGTTAAGTTTTCGAGAGAGAATAAGGCCCCTAAGCTTTGTTTGTATGAGTCATCTCAAATTACGATTTTAAATGTTTACCTGATATGACAATATTAAGGTGTAACAAATACACAAATAAAACTTACTAATTTTCTTTTTCTTCTTCTTTGTAAGAATTAATGATGGCGTTTACATGTTTTCTAACAGAAGAAAAAGGATGTTAGCAATTTCGTTATCACACGTCCAAATCAACAAGCTTGTCGAGTCTGTGGAGATTAATACAAACATGAATACTGTAGGTAGCAATTATATGAAACTGTTGGGAAATGTTATTTACGGTAAAACTGTGCAGATAGATATAAATACATAATTTCATTTATAGTCTGAAGAAACTCTTGAAGCAAATTTTGATTCAAAATTAATAAGCTATATAACAAGTAAATGATTATCAATACATAGTGGAAAAATAAAAATTACAACCCGAAATTATTGAACCAACAAAAACAACGAGATTAACTCATTCATCTTAGCACATAGCAAACGGATAATGAATAATTTTATTCGTGTTATTGATGGATTTGTCAAAGCCGAAATATACCATACTGATACTGATAGCTTATACATATCAGACAAAAATTTGAATAAATTGGAAAAAGCTGGTTTAACTTCTGAAACGGAATATGGAAAGGGTAAGAATGATTATTGAGATGGAGGTATAATATTTGGTTTATATTTGGCTCCAAAGGTAAAAATATAATATTGTTCTAACTTCTAACGGAGAATTAGTGGAAAAGAAAGCTTGTAAAGGATATATACAAAACCTAAGTTGACTGTGGACGATTACTCCAATTGTTTCTCCGTCACACGTCAGTACGTCAGTCAACACGTCAAACACGTCGATGCTACCTTATAAAATCAAGAATCATATTATTTTTAATCACAAAACGAAATAAAAACGATATTTTGAAAATGGACACGTCAACGACGAAAAACGAAAGATCATTTAGAAAATTCTGTTATGAAAATAAACACGTCGGTAAACACGTCAAAACAGTAGGAATTGCCAATATTGTTCGTTCTTACAGAGTTTTTGTAAAAAACGCATGAACAATAGGAACTTTCTCAAAGGGCTGCTTTTTTTCGAAAACTCAAGATCTGTGTGGCATCAGGTATTCTAGAAAGGTTAAGTGTGCGTCAATACGTTTGGGCCGAAATTTCATCACACGGTCGGTCGGAACATCAAAACTTCAGTCAGTAAACAAGTCAAAGAAGCAAATTTCTTAAAATTTCGTTTTTTGATGTAGTAGTTTTTATAAACATAAGTTATAAGTTTGTAAGGTAGCATCGACGTATTGACGTGTCTGGCGTGTTTACTGACGTGTTTGACGTATATACTGACGGGTCTGACGTGTTTACTGACGTACTGACGTGTGACGGAGACCTTACTCGATTGTATTAAATTAGCGAGTGGAGAAGATATAGAAAACGAATTTGATATCTTGGAAAAGAAGTTTTAAAGATGATATTGTCATTCCAAAAGATAAACAAAAGAAATTTACTTTCAATGGAAAAACATACCTTCAAACTCGGTGGGTGTAAATTCCGAATTCCCTATCTGTCCGAACTACCCGAATTGGGTCAGAAAAGGCAAAAAAATTGAAACTAAATTTGCGCCAAAGGTCGTGCACAAATTCGGGAATGAAAACATTTTACATCAAAAAACGAATATTTTTAAAAGCTTTCATTTGGACAAATCACAATTTCTTTCTTTATTTTTCGTGTACACCGTGCTAGTTGATGATAATGCCGTCTATGATATTTTTGATTTTTCATAAATATAATCGCTATTATTCAATGGACACTTTTTGTTTCTGTGATCGAAGGCGTCTTCCCATTATCTCCCTTGAATAGCAACCATGACATGTCAAGGTGACAACACATTGGGAGATTTAAATCTAAACAGCTACACAAAGTTTGAACTCTTGGTTCTTGCTGTTTCTCACAACCAGGCAACATCTTCCCCACCCTTGTCTCCTTACCATTCAGAAAATGTGGTCGATAAGGGGGCTGCGGGAGAAGATTGGAAACACACCTCTACAGCTACGTGGCATTTAGTGAATACCTGCAATTTTAGTGTCGATTTTTTTGTCTTTTCTGACCCAATTCGGAGAGTTCGGGAATTCGGAATTTCAGGAGCAGCTATGGGCAAACGATTTCCCCTAAACTATGCGAATATCCTTATGACTGAGTGGGAATGCGAAATGGGCCAAATTTCCCCTTTTAAAAGGCCATGTGCGCCATTTTTTGACCAATCATACTTTATTCTCAAACGAGAATTTTTTTAGATAATCCCAAACAGTAATAGATGTGTATCCAGAATTATCCGCGTTAGAATGTTAAAATGACTACTCGTGTTATACAGAAAAGACATATATAAACAGATATATTGAAATGGAACGCTAAATTACTAGTTTGATGTAATTTGTAAGAATTATGCGGTTTTCGTACATTTCTAGTGTTTCCGAAGGCTATTTACATATATTCAAGAACCAAATCAACCCCTGAAAATGACGCTAGACCCCTTTAAACTCCCTTTTTATGGAAGATTCCTCGAAGATATTTTTCTTATTTGGATCGATTCGCTAGAAAACTTTTGGCAATATTTTGAGATATTAAACAAACACCATCCTTTACTAAAATTTACAGCAAACATAAGCGACAACAGTATGTATTTCTTTGACACTACGGTGTTCAAAGGAAAAGATTTTGAAGAAACGTCTAAAGCGGATATTTGAGTATTCTTCAAAAAAACTGATACGCACCAACTTTTATTCAAAGGCTCGTTCAATCCGCAGCATACATTTTTTACGATTATCAACTCAAAAATTCTAAGGTTCCAAAGGCTTTGTACTCAACAGACCGACTTTGATTCTGCGTGCAGCCTAGTATTTAGTAAATTACGAGAGTGGGGTTATTCCAAAAGATTTTTACGTAAAATTAAAAACTTCGGTAGAAGCAAGATTCCCCTCCTTTACCAACTGGATTTGGCTCAAAACCTTGTGGTGGTTCTGCGTATCGGTTCTGCGTACATGTACCTATTTCTCTCCCTTTTTTTAAAACAATAAAACCTGAAAAAACCTTTCTCAAATCTGACCAACTTTCATGTGTTGACCAAAATCTTATTAACCTGATTGTAAAAAAAAAAAATACAAGTACATTGGAGAAACTATGAACGCGTTGCGAACTCATTTGGCCATCGTTACTATATAGTGCATGGCAAAAATAGACCAATTTCCAATCACTTTAACCCGACCATTCCATCGAAGACTTGTTGATTATGCCAATTGAAAAGATGCAACCTATGCCGAATATAAAGAAGACTACAGCGCGTTACAGAGAGTTATTAGATGGACCAACTTCAAATTGTATATCCTAATGACCTAAATATCCAACAGATCACACCTTTAGTTACAACCTACAACAATACTCCTTCCAACACCTCACATTAAACGCCATTATAAGCGTCTTCAAGACCATAATATCCCCATGTTTACTATAATGATATATATCTATTTATTAGTAATGTTAGATTCCTAGAAAATAACATACTGTGTTCGAGACTTGTTTAATGATATAATAAAAGAAATATCAACATAACAATATGATGATATAGAAGTATATATCCTCAGATGGTTCCATTGTTTGCTCTACCACGTTGAATTTAACATATTTTACATATGTGGTGTTTGCATTCGTCATAAAATTAATACTCCATGAGTTTGTATTGTTTTTATACTTATAGATTTTCATGAAAGCTGTATTCTCCCTTTTGAAAGAGTATATATTAAAGCAGTCTAAAATGAGACCTGACTTCCATTCGTATTTTATTAGTCTCGTTTCGAATGTTTTGTTAGCTATTAGCTTTGTACGTAACCACTACAGTAAGATCTTGACTTTTCATTTGTTAACCTTTGCTTGACCTCTGTTTTAACAAATCACGTGGCTGCCCTTTCCAGCGCCGGGATAATTTGACGTGAACAATAGGTTCATTCCGATATGTATTAGACTAGCAGACTTGATAAGTTAGTCTAATATGCCTCGGAGGTCAAGTAGTGGTTAACAGAATGAAAGGTCAAGAAGGACAGTGTTAGAGCGTAGGCCTACTGTAGTGGTTACGTACAAAGTTAATTAAACATTCGAAACGAAACTAATAAAATACGAAGGGAAGTTAGGTCTAATTAGACTGATAATGAAGCTGTGTTCGCCCCCTCCTGAAACAGTATATATAATATATAGTAGTGAAAGTATTTAGAGATTTACGGTAGTGTGGAGAGAAGTTTACTATTACTACTGCCCTTGATCCTTGAAACACGTTCAATTTTTGTATTATGAGTTATTAACCTTGTTCTTGAAAACGCATTCAATATTTAGCCCATCAACACTTCAAGGTTCGATTCTTGTAGGATTTTGACCAAACTTGGTAATATTGTTCAGTATTGCCCCAAAAAGTTCAAAGGAAGTGTATGACCGAAGATTGAGTATTTCATACTGGTGATTGTTACTGTAATTTTTATTTAAAATCAAAGCTGTAAGTGGGCGCATATTAACTTGCCTGACCGTAAGTTAAGACCAATTTTCTGTGTAAATCGAAAGTGAAGCAAACAATTTGACTGTACCATGTTTTTTTTACTTTCTTGACATTTGACCAAAATGGGTCAAAAATTGCAAAATTCTGCTGAAAAATGTGTGCTACAAATTTTCGAAATCTTGAAATTCTAAAACTGTTATCACATCAGATACATGTAGATTCCAAAAATGAAACCCGAAGAAAATGACCCAAAACTGCGACTTTTAGAGCCGATCTTTCTACTTTTTGCACATGTTGAACTGTGGCACTTCCGGTTTTTGCAAAAATGTTCCAATATATATTTAAGGAACTCTAGGAAAATTGAATAGTTGCTGCAACTACTGCAGTCTAAGCACAGTAAGGTTTTGAAAAAGAAAACAAAAAAAACATTGACATTTTGATAACAAACTGCGACTTCGATTTTTCTGAATTTTTGACAACTTGATATGGCACAGTTCTAACATCTGAATTTATGAAATTAACACAGACTTGTCAGTTCTGTTCCAACTTTGGTCAGAATTTACTATCTTTCAGGAATAGCTACAGGCAGCATTTACAACGATTCTTTCATTCGCAATCATGGCTTCATGGGAGAGGGCTATCGTGATGACACAGTAATCGTGATCAAAACTCATAAACTGGGGTTGAAAGAAAGAAAGAAATATCAGAAAGCTGTTGTTTTGATCAGAGATCCATTAGATGCTATAAAAGCAGAGTTTAACCGACAATACAGAGGGCATCTAGGTTACGCTCCATATTCCGTCTATAGAAAAAGTAAGTAGCTGTCATAAAATAATCTTAAAATGAAATGAATGGAGTTTTACGTCCTACTTTTCTGCACCATGTGAGCTAATGAAGACGCCATGTAGGGTGCAGTGAAGGAAATTTGGACAGGACAGCGACATTAGCCTGTTATTCGATTTCCAACTGTCGAGGGATCTTTAACGTGCACTGCCTGTAACACACGGGTCCTCGGTTTCTTGGCCCATTCGAATAACTAGATGCTTTTTCCATGTCAGTCCCTCCCCTGCATCACTGATAGGGGGGGAGCCGGGTTGTAATCTTATTTCGAGACAATATAGGTTGGTACTGTGGTTATGCGACAAAAAAAAAACACATGTGTGGGCTTGGTTATCTTATGAAGGGATCATAGGTATGGGAAATGTAAACCCCTTTAAAACCTCAATGGCTTTCCGGAATCTTTTACCAAAACCATCATTGATCAGACCCGACAGAACGACATCAACCCCACCGAAGCATAACCCCCATCACCGATCCGAATCTCAATCCCATTTATTGGCAAATTATCCTAACAAATTCAAAGACTACTCAAGCAAACCGTATTCTCATGCAGGTGCACAATTCGAGAGATTCTTAAGGCTAACGACAAGCTACAACCGCCTATACCCCCAGCTCCCAAAGGTTGCGTATACAAGATAACCTGCTCGTGTGAGGAGGAATATATCGGTGAAACCAAGCGCCCCCTCAATCTCAGAATCCAAGAACATCTATCCCTAGCCCCAACTCAAACCTCTGCAGTATCAGAACACCTAAAGAATATCCGACGGCAAAAGATCAAAATAGAAGACATCAAAGCGCTCACTCAACATAAATAAGAAAACCAGATAAATAACTGAAGCCTCTGAGATAAGAAGACATCAACCCAAGCTAAATAGAGACCAAGAGGTCTACATTTCCAATGCCTATGATCCTCCGATCAAATAACCAAGCCCACACATGTGTTTTTTTCACATAACAACCCCCCCCCTCCCCCCATCCGATTTTCTTTTTTTTATGCATAGTTCACCTAATTTTATCCCCCATCATGGATTCCCATTCATAAAATCCATAATGGTGTCCAGTTATTTAGACTCTCAGATAATTGTTCCAATAATCATCAAATGTTTATCTCTTCCAGATTGGCCAGCGTTAACTGGCAAAAAAACCATGAAATGGTATAAGTTTTACTTGGATTGGTTGGAATTCAAAGGGCCATTGCACGTGATTCAGTATGAAAAACTACGAAATGACACTGCTCACGAAATGCAGAAATTGCTAAGGTTCTTAGCCGTACCGTATACGCAATCGGATATGTCTTGCATGTTGAGAAACAGAGAGGGGGATTTTAAGAGAAAAGCTGTTAAAAAACTTAAACCATTTCAGAGATTTCCTTATAATATGACAAAGTTGATCGAGTCGTGCAAATTGAACATCACAAAAATATTGACTGGAAATTGAAGCCTTGTTTTGTGGGGATTTATAGAGTTTTCTAGAAAGTGATAGGGAAGATTTGGTGATTTAATATGGAAAATCAAATGAATGGAATTCTACCACCTGCTCTTGCTGCATCTAATTGGGATTATGAAGAGGGGTAACGCCATGCAGAGGAACATATTTTCAGAAAAGCTACATTAGCCTTATCTTTTTTTTTCGATTTCCAATTGTCCAGGGATTTTTTATTGTACTGAGCTTGTAGCACACCATCTTCACAATGACAAGCAATTACTAACGTCTTATAGTCTACTGTGACTGCAACAGCAACCTTTCTTGTATCATGGAACTTTGTTAATGTAGCGATTTGATTGGCTTGTAAACTAGCGACAGATGCTTCGACAGAAAGCCGTTGTACAATGAATAATTCCAGTCTTGCCAAAATGTTTACAGTTTTCTTTCGAGGATTGCTCTGAGTGACTGTATTGGTTAGTGTACAATTCAATCCAATCGCTTCATCCCATGATACAAGAAAAGTGGCTATAACAGTCTAGGCATTAGACAAAGTTCTAGTAGCTTGACATTGTGGAGATGATGGAAAGTATACATTCAATCCTTTATTATCTTGACTTGCAGGTTATCATTCCGTCTTCATTAGCCCACATGGTGCAGAAAAGTAGGACGTAAAACTCCATTCATTTCATTTTTCATTTTTGCAAGTTATCATTGTTTGATATTTTACAAAATAAATTAATCACATTCCACCTTCTGATAATAACTTAATAATTTGTTAATCCACAAGACAGCTTTTACAGTAAAAACTGCCGTGTCTATGTGCATACAAGCCATAATTGGCGTATTAGTCAAGGGCAATAACTCCCAAACCGAAATCCAAAAATTCCTTCATCCATGAGAGGT